TGTTAATACGGTTGTTAATAGTTATTTATTGTATAAGTGTTTTAAATAGCATTTTATCCACGCAAGAATGTTTCATATTCAAGTGGATAAAAGGCAATTAAAACACGAATACAATACAATGTTTTATCCATAAGTACATCACAATCATATTTGGAATTGGAATTTAATAAAAAAAAATTCGAACGACTTGATATTTCTTACTAGTACCTACTCAATGAAACGTGGTAGGTTTTGTTATACCTACTGGTTGCTATGGTACGTTGTTTATTATCAATTATTTAATAAACAGTTCTATCTGAATTTGGTAAAAATGCAAAAAAGTTATTGTATTCCTGTAGCCGTTTTTGAAATTGCTCAAGGAGCAATTTTACATTTATTGTCAGCGAAATCCAGGGAACATTACGAAAAAGTGATCGCCGAATTTAATAAATGGAGAGAAAAAGGAGAGTAATGACAATAAATGAAGAAATCATGCTATCGTATTTTTTAAATTTGAAGAAAAAAATGCAATTTCATCTATGTGGTTGAAGTATTCGATGTTGAAGGCTACTATAAAGGTCTACGAAAATATAGATATTGGAAAACATAACAAACTTACTGCTTATTTGAAGAGTGAATTGAGAGGATACAAAACAAAAAAGCTGCAGTATTGGCTGGCTGGTTGCAGTATTCGGAAGAACACATATTGAAGAATTTTTGACTAGGTCTCCGATAAAGGGTATTTAATGATTAAGGTAATATCTTTTTACCTTTTACATGTTGTTAGGTATATGTATAGTGAACCTTGAATTATTTTAGGTTGCACTAGTAATGGGGGTGTCTGGTGCCTGTTGATGTTGCGAATTGACAAATTTGAAAATTAGTGAACTACAATACGTTTGCAGTTACCTACTTGTTTCAGTACCTGACACCAAGACGGGCACTTCAAGAAAATTTACAATTATAGAAGAAAGATTTTGTGTGAATGCTGCTGAAATATGTAGAAAATCTATTTCTCTGCGCCCAATTCAACTAACATAAGACAGATTCTTTTTAAGATACATCAATCAAAAATGTACTACTCAGCCTGTTGGAATTAACACACTGGCAAGGTACCCTCAATAGTTGTTTCATTCCTGAATATCGCAAATGCAGAGGCATATACTGACCGTTGTATGAGGCGCACTTCAACGACTTTATCGGACAGACAATAAAGGTGTTGATCTTATAACTATCCAACACCGCGGCGGCAAGGTGGATGGAAGAACTCTTGTGTAGCATAATAGTCGAGAAAATAAAGCACTGAACCTCTGAATTCTGTGCAGTAAGATGGATCGTGATGCGGATTTTTGCATTCGATTCGTTAGAGCGTCCAGAAAGTTTGTGACCCTATGTGATCAATGAGAAATGAAAATTGCATCGGTGCATAAGAAAAATGCATTTTTAAAATTGCATCCGGAAGAGTTAAAATATGAAAAATTTATAACAGAAACTATTGACGGAAATGAGTTCAATTTTGCTACTCGGGGGTTTTTGGGGTCGCTCAACACGAATATCACAACGGCAACGGTCTCCGAGGTACCTAGTGCCCCAGGGTGGCCGGTTTCAACGTCATCTCCTGGAGTTTTGTGGAAATTCGTTATAAACTTAGCCGAAATTCGTTACCTCATGGTTTTTGGGGTGGCTCAACAGGAATATCACGACGGCAACGGTCTCCGAGGTACCTAGTACCCAGGATGGCTGGTTTCTGTGACAACTATTTAATTCTTAATTATTTTTTATTATAAAAATACATTTATTCATTACAAAATGTTTATTTAATACAGCAAGTGACCCATCCTGTGCCATAAATTCAGAGATATACTACATTTTGTTGCAGTTTATAGTTTGTTTGTTAAAAACAGGTTTGTTTTGTTTAAAACAGGTGTCCACATTTACCCCAAAAATTAAATGCTATGGGGTAAATACGAACACTTTGGAGGGGTAAATGAAGACACGTCCCATGGCCTCAAAAACCCCCAGGTAACGAGTTTCGGCTAAGTTTATAACGAATTTCCACAAAACTCCAGGAGACGACGTGGAAACCGGCCACGCTAGAGCACTAGGTACCTCGGAGACCGTTGCCGTCGTGATATTCGTGTTGAGCGACCCCAAAAACCCCCAGGTAACGAGTTTCGGCTAAATTTATAAGGAATTTCGACAAAACTCCAGGAGACGAAGTGCAAACCGACCACCCTGGAGCACTAGGTACATCGGAGACCGTTGCCGTCGTGATATTCGTGTTGAGCGACCCCAAAAACCCCCAGGTAACGAGTTTCGGCTAAGTTTATAACGAATTTCCACAAAACTCCAGGAGACGACGTGGAAACCGGCCACCCTGGGCACTAGGTACCTCGGAGACCGTTGCCGTCGTAATATTCGTCTTCAGCGACCCCAAGAACCCCCGAGTAGTAAAATTGAATTCATTTCCGTCAATATTTTCCGAGTTGTAAATTTTTCATATTTAACTCTTCAAGATGCAATTCTAAATATGCATTTTTCTTATGCACCGATGCAATTTTCATTTCTCACTGATCACATAAGGTCACAAACTTTCTGGACGCTCTAACGAATCGAATGCAAAAAACCGCATCACAATCCATCTTACTGCACAGAATTCAGAGGTTAGGCCGTTTTTAGTGCTTTATTTCCTCGACTAGAAAGTTATGCTGAGGAGTCTATATCTAGCAAACTTGATATTGCATGAAAATACAAGGAAAATATACAGTGTTAGTAAATAAGTGCGACAAATTTCAGAAGGTGATTCTACATGAGAAAATAATGGCAGTTTGCTTATAAACGTATGTCCGCGAATGATTGGTTTTCCCAGATACGAGGTGTCAAAGTTTTTCTTAAAAACTGACGATTTAATTTATTGCTCTGAAACCGGTCGAGATGTGCAAATGAAATTTGGTGGGTTTTAAGAGGTAGTTATTGCGCATTTTTTGACACGCAATTAAGAATTTTATGTTCATCATTGGCCCGCGTACGGGTAATAATCTCAATTTTTTTAAAGAAAAAAATGGTACGCCACTGAGATATTACACATTAAAAAATTTTTGAATTCCTCGTTCAATTTGTGACAAAAAATCTCTCTTGCCTTTTCTTCGTATGGGGCGCCGTTTTGATGCAAAAAAAATAAAACTTCTTAAAGCGCATTTTTTATTTCTTTAATACATTATCAAGAACTATCTAATACAATAACATTAAACCAGAACAGTAATAGAAAAAACACCAACAAAATTTTGAAAAGGCGCAAAGCTACAACAAATGTTCAGAATGACCTCCCTCAGACGTGACACAAGATTCAACTCTTCGCCTCATTGATTGTCGTATTCGCGCAAATATTCCTGGTATATTTCTTATTGTCTCACAGCCGACTATAATTCGATTCCTCAGGTCATCAACATTTTCAACGGGAGTGGAATAAACTAATGACTTAAGAAAACCCCAA